GACTGGGGACTCAGGGTGATATTGGAGTAACGGGGGCTTGGGTGCAGGGAACAGAGGTCTGGGGGAATGGGCACCCGGGGGGGAATGGGCACCCTGGGGGGACGGGGACCCTGTGGAGGAACAGGGACTCTGGTGGTAGCAGCCCTCGCCAGCCCCAAAGGGTGAGGGGTGGCTCTGTCCTGAGTGTGGGACCCAGCAGGGACCCAGGAGGGGCTGGGTGCTGCCCCACAGTGACGGGGCAGGACCCCCACCTTTCCCCTCCCGAAGTCGTGGGGCTGGCGAGGGAGTTGAGCCCTGGGCTCGGGTGGGGGATTCTGCATCATCAGGGACAGACGCTGCCTTCCCCCTCCCTGCAGGGCTTGTCCCCAGCCCCCCCTTCCCCAAAAACACCCCCCAAACTCCCTTTTACCATGCTGGTGGGGGTCGCTGGTAGAGGAGCCCCCCGTCCCTCCTCTTCCTCGCTCCTCCGCTGCCGCCATCTCTCGCCTGAGCTTGTCGGAAACTTTTCAGCAGCTGCTTTTGCAGGGGGCCGAGGCAGGGGCTGGTGGGGGGGTCCGGGCGGGGGGGGCTGGGCTGGGCTGGGGGGCAGCTGCCAACAGTGGGGGAGCAGGGGGGGTTCCTTGCCTTTGCCTGCCGCAGCCCCCGGGAGCCCCTGGCTGCAGAGCCCCGCGGGGTGTTTCAAGAAGAGCTGCCCATGGAGCTGGGAGCTGGGGGGGCACAGGTCCTGTCTTGTCTCCTACATCCCAGAAGTTCCCCATGACACCAGTGCCTGGGGTGCTCTTTGTCAGGTCGAGGGTGCTGGGGAGTGTGGGGACTTGCGGGTTGCCCCAGTGCAACATGGGGCTCAGCCCCGTCTGTGCTGGGGTCCCCCGGCGACAGTGAATATCATCGCGAGGCAGGGTGGGAGAATTGGGGATGGCGGCTGTGCACGGCAAGGGAAGGTTTGGGGAGGGGGATTTTTGCTGCCTGTAGGGGCCTTTCCTCTGGCTGCTGGAGCTGGGGGGGCGCAGCGGGGTGCACAAGGGTGCTGTGGGATGCAGCAGGATGCATGGGTGGGGGGACGAAGCCGCTGTGCTCCCATGCTGTTCATAGTGGGCAGCCACAGGGCTGGGATGGGGAGATCACGGCCAGGGCTGCCGCCAGGCTGCAGGGACTGGGGGTGAGAGCCATGGGACAGCCCGGCCGGCGGTGGCACCGGGAAGGAAATTACCCGTTTGCGTTCCCCCTCCTGCCAGCGCAGCCTCGGTTCCTTAAAATTACACGTTGCGTTCCCAAGGGAGTCTGTCGCTGGCTCAGCCTCTGGGCCCCAGGAGCATTTCTAGCGCAGGGAGGGGGCCCTGGTTGTCCCTTTGTGGGGGGATCCCCAGAGACTGACGTCCCCTCACCCCAGGTGCGCGACGGACCACAACTCGGACAACACAACAGCGATGCTGCAGGAGTGGCTGGGGGCGGTGGGGAAGGACTATCACTCGGTGGTCTGGAAGGCACAAGAGGAGCCCAGGTGAGGCCGGGGAAGTGCCGGGGGGGGGCAGGTGCGGGCTGTGAGGGGCTCCCAGAGCAGCACCCCACTCCCCAGCCAGGGACACTGCCAGGAGGAGCCGGCGGTGAGGCAGAGCTGGGCTGACTCAGCTGGCTGGCAGAAGCGGCATGCACCGAGTTTGTGCGTTCCCAGCGAGCAGGGTTAACCCCTGCCTCCCCCCCGGCCTAGCTCCTACCCTGACGAGCTTGGGCCCAAGCACTGGAGCGATAAACGCTACGAAAACCTGATGAGGCTGAAGCAGGAGGCTCTCACCTACGCCCGGGAGCAGCACGCAGACTATATCCTGGTAAGGGACATGGGGCACCAGTGGGGGGGGGGCTGAGGCAGGCGTCCCCGTGCCTCCAGGACCTTTATTGTCCCCCCAGTTTGTGGACACCGACAGCATCCTGACCAACAACCAGACCCTCAAGTTTCTCATGGCGCAGAACAAGTCGGTGGTGGCCCCCATGTTGGACTCGCAGACCTTCTACTCCAACTTCTGGTGTGGCATCACGCCCCAGGTATGTCCCCAGAAAGCCCCAGGGAAGGGATACCCCCCCGCCCAGGGCAGAAGAGCCCCCCACCATGGAGGCATCATGCTGGTGTGTCGCAGGGGTACTACCGCCGGACGGCCGATTACTTCCCCACCAAGAACCGGCAGCAGGTGGGCTGTTTCTCCGTCCCCATGGTCTACGCCACCTTCCTGATCGACCTGCGGAAAGAGGAGACGTCGCGGTTGGCTTTCTACCCGCCCCATCCCAACTACACCTGGGCCTTCGACGATATCATCGTCTTCGCCTACTCCTGCCAGGCAGCTGGTGAGGGTGGTGGGGGGCTGGGAGTGGTGGGGGGTTTGAGGGGGGGCTGCAGTGCTCACCCATCCCACCCGGCAGGCGCGGAGGTCCATGTGTGCAACCAGCAGCGCTTTGGCTACATCAATGTCCCTGTGAAGGCTCACCAGACGCTGGAGGATGAATGCGCCAACTTTGTGCATCTCACGCTGGAGGCCATGGGTGAGTGCCTGTGGGTGGCACGGTTCCGGAGGTGTCCCTTGCCCCAGGGGTGATGGGGACCTGGTGCTGGTCCCCGGGGCAGGGCTGTCAGCCCCGGTTCCTGGCCAGGGGGATCTGGGCTCCACTGAAGTGGTGTCCCCTCTCTCTGCAGTGGATGGGCCCCCCATGCAGCGCTCCAGGCATATTTCCCTCCTTCCCAAGCCACTCACGAAAATGGGCTTTGATGAAGTAAGTGCCCAGTCTAGCCCCTCCATGTCCCGCTGTCTGTCCCTCTGGCTGCATCCATCCATGGCAAAGCCTGCCACGGGGTTTGGCTGAGCGCCCTGTCCCCCATCCTGTGGTGGCCGGACAGGCTGTGTCCCCCTTCATGACAACATGCCCCATCGGTGGGGCTCTCCCCTTCCTCCCCAGATCTTCCTCATCAACCTGGTGCGGAGGCCGGACCGGCGCCAGCGGATGCTGGCGTCCCTGCAGGAGCTGGAGATTGCCCCACGGGTGGTGGATGCTGTGGATGGGAGGTGACCGCAGGGGGACGTGTCCCCACTCTGCCAGCCCCCTAGTGTCACCCTGGGGAGGGGATGGGGGGGTGGCTGGGGGGATGCCTCGCCGATGCAGCCCCTTGCCTTGCAGCACCCTCAACAGCAGCGACATCAAGGTGCTGGGGGTGGACCTGCTTCCCGGGTACTACGACCCCTTCTCCGGCCGCACGCTCACCAAAGGCGAGGTCGGCTGCTTCCTCAGCCACTACAACGTCTGGAAGGAGGTATGGGGCCGTGGGGGCCATGGGGTCCCTAAGGGCCACCAGCATGGGGCAGGGACTCCGTGAGCATCAGCAGGTCTCTGGAGGACCTGGGGAGAGGGGTGTCCTGCAGGGTGAGTGGACCCAGTATGGCCCAGCGCAGTGCTGGGATGGGTTTGTACCTCTGCCCCCTCCCCGCAGATCGTGTCCCGGGGGCTGGAGCGGTCAGTGGTCTTTGAGGACGATGTGCGTTTTGAGGCTGCCTTCCCGGCACGGCTGCATCGGCTGATGGAGGAGCTGGAGGGGGCACAACAGGACTGGGACCTCATGTAGGTGCTGGGGCCAGGGGGGATGCAGGGTGGGGGGTTCCTGGGGCTGGTTCTCACAGCTCGCGGGCTGCCCCACAGCTACCTGGGAAGGAAGCAGGTGAACGTGGAGGATGAGGCACCCGTGGAGGGTGTGCGAAACCTGGTGGTGGCTGGGTACTCGTACTGGACGCTGGCCTACGTCATCTCCCTCCGCGGGGCGCAGAAGCTGCTGGCTGCCGAGCCCCTCTCCAAAATGCTGCCAGTGGACGAGTTCCTGCCCATCATGTATGACAAGCACCCCAAGTAAGGAGCTGGGGGTGCAGGAGGGGCGCTGGCGGAGTGGCATGGCCATGCTGGCGAAGGAGCACGTGTTTCTTCTCTGCTGTCACCGTCGCACCCGTTTCCCTCCTCCCGGCATTACTCATGCTGGAGGAAAACATCTGTAGCATGAGCTCATTCCCCCCTGGCCAATGCCTGGCTGCTGGCCGCTGGAAAATGGCCCTCTGCCAGCGTGGGGTGGGGGGATGGCGATGGAGACGGAGCCGAGGCTCGATGCTGGCCCCGCACGGGGGCCTTGTCCCCGTGGCAAGGGGAGAGCAGCCCCCTGTACCCTGGCGCTGGGGTCTGTGTGGTCCCCCGCCCCTGGCTGTGGGTCTCAGCCCCATCTTGGGGCACCTCCATGCCCCTCTTCCTGGGCAGGAATCAGTGGCAAGGCTGTGTTTGGGGAGGGGGAGGCAATTTAGGGGGTGGGTGAGTGCTGGTGGCCGGGTGTCCCAGCAGAGAGGGGGGTGCGAAAGCCAGTGAGCAGGATGGTGAAACAGAGGGATTAGGCATGTAAAAGGGAGGCTGGATGTGGATGGAGGGGCGGATTAGTGCTCTGGATGTGAACCAGGAGCAGCTGGGAGTCCCATGCTCGCCGGGATAACGCACCAGACAGCCTTGGCCTGGGGCCAGCTGGGGCCGGGCTGGCAGGATGCTGTGCCGGAGACCCCCTCTGTGCCAGGGCTGGCCCTGTGCCACTAAGGCTGGTGGGGAGAGATGGGTCCCATCCCCTCCGTAGTCCCTTCGCAGTCTCTCCCCAGCCAGCCTCTGCAGGCAGCAGCAGCGCAGGGCAGCTCGGCTGCCTTCCCTGGATGCCCTCCCTGGTACCCCATGTCCCTCCCCATCACCTGCCCTGTGTGGTGCCTTCCCTGGGTGGTCAGTACAGTTTTCCCAGCCTTTTTCTCCACTGGGCCATGATCTGTAAGCCAAATTTCTCTTCTCGGGTACGCTTCACTTTCCCCAGCGAGGATTACAAGCAGCACTTTGCCCCCCGGGACCTGCTGGTGTTTTCTGCTCACCCCCTCCTGGTTTATCCCACCCACTACGCTGGGGACAGCAACTGGCTGAGCGACACCGAGACCTCCACCATCTGGGACGACGATGCCAAGAAGACCGACTGGGCTGGCTCACAGAAGACCCTGAGGGACTCACGGGGCGGTGCTGGCCACCTCCGCTCCACCGCCCGCGATGAGCTCTGATGGTGAGTGAGGCTGTGGGATGCAGGCGCGCGGTGCTGGGGTTGGGGGATAGAGTGGCTGGGAAGCATCTCCCTGCAAGGGCCATGTTCAGATGTGTCCTGGATGCCTAGTTTCTTTTTGCCATGTGGCAGCAGCTCTCCCCATCAGACTCAAAGCACTGGGAAACAGAGATGACACCTTCTCTTCCAGGCAGGGAAAGGGATGGGGACGCAGATGTCCCATGTGGGGCTGCACTGTGCTGGAGGGGACCAGGGAACCGGGTCCTGCTGCTCCCTGAGTCCAGCTGCTCCTCAGCCCCTCAAGCGAGGAAGGGACAACGCTCTTCGCCTCCTCCTGCAAAATTCACCCTAGTTTGGAAAGAGTTGGGGGCATCTCGCAGGGGAAAGTTTCACCCCGGCGCTGCTTGCTTTCCCCCAAAAGCAGGTCTCCCTGGGGCTGTCTCTCCGTGGGGCGGCCGTGCAGGCAGGCGAGCACCCGCAGTTGCTCAGCCCCAAGGCAGCACCGCCACGGTTAACGCCGGGTCAGACTTTCCCTGTCTGAGGTTGCTTGTGCTGGCAGCAGAGCCTCCCCAGGAGCAGCCAGACTGGGGGAGGCTGGAAAACAACCCTCCCACCGCCTCTACTGCAGGCGTGAATGTGTCAGGGCTGCTCCTGCCTTGACCGCTAACGTCTGCATCCTTGCCTCCTAGGGACAAGGGATTGTGACCCAGCTGGGAGCACCACAGGCTAGTGGCCTGATCCTGCCCGCTCCCACTTGAGAGATGCAGCTGCCCAGGACAGATCCCTGCAGGGTCCTTCCAATCTGCATGTGGCGAATCCACCCAAAGCAGGATTTGCCCCAGGGCTCCCGGAGAGCCCTTTCCCTGCCCAGGTGGAGGGACTGGGGGAGCACTGTGCTCCGTCTCTGCTGAGGACACGTCTCCAGGACTGCCCTGACTGATGCCAACTCTGCCGTCTCCCACCGGCTTGGACTTTGGGGAGTGTTTTTCAGGCCGGGGGCTGGCTCCTGGGGTGGCACACGTGGCCTCCTGCCACCGACTGGGCTTGTCCCTTGCCTGTGCCGTGTCTGGGCTGAAGCCCAGGGAGGATTAAAGCAGACTGTGTTTGAGCTGACGTGCTGGGTGCTGGCTCTGCCACGTGGCATTGCCCCTTGTAACGTCCGCAGGGCATACGCAGCCAGGGTCACCTCAGAGCTGTGGTGGCGAGGGTCTGGCCATTCCCCTGGCTGGGGACTGCTTTGGGAATAAAATCTGTAATGGGGAAAGGGAGGCGGGAAGGTAGGGTGGGAGAGGGAGACTGGAGCTCTCCCTTGGCCTCTGAGGGTGAAAAGGTGCGGGGCATTTCCATGGAGCTCAGCTCTTCCCTGGGAATGCTGATGGAAATTATTTCCCTCGTTGGCTCTAGGTTTGGCCTTGGGACTGAAAACCCGACACTAGCTTAAGCACCGCGATGTGCAGCCGAGTCCTGCTGGGCTTCGGCATCTGTCACCTTTGTGGCCAGCTCTGGAGGAAGGTGTTTGCTTTGCAAGAGCCTAGGTTTGTTTGGTGCTAAACCTCAGCTCCTCAGCAAGATGGTGTTTGGTTGAAAACTGAGGGTTTTCTGGCATGGAGTAATTTCCTTAAAAACACTGCAACTAGCCCTAGTCTGGGTGAGCTGGGGAGATGTGAGCTCCCTGCCAGGCCCCCAGAGCTGCCGCGTCCCTCCACCCCTGCCTGGCAGCTGGCTGCCCCTTTTGGCCCTGGAGCTGGCGTTAGCCCTGGGACAGTGGGTTGCTGCCTTCACCCAGGGTTTGGGGGGGGCTACAACCCTCTTCTCCCCACAGCTTGATGGAGCAGCGGGTGGAAAACTCGGTAGCTGAGACCCACAGCGGGATGTCTGAGACCACCAAACAAATGATCCAGGAGAGCATCATTTGGGGCAAGTTGAACAGCTACAGCAGGGACCTCCTGAAGGAAAACAACCAGCTCCAGGAGATCACACAGGACCTTAAGATCCGAGTGGATCTACTGGTGAACAGGGAGTAGGAGATGGCCAAGTGCATGGTCTGCAACTGCAAGGTCCCAGCCAGTACAGGCACAGGTGAGACAGCAGGGTGAAAAGGTGATGGCAAGTTGGGGACACCTTATCTTCCCTGCCTGTACCCTGGTTGCAGGTGGCCTCAATGCTACAGGAGGAGCTCGGGAGCTGGGGACAGAGTGGAGGAAGGTCTGGTGCCAGCTGGAGCGGAGGAAGGAAGCGGCAGCAGTGCTGCGGTACGCGTGACCCAGCAAGGGTCCCAGCGCTTGTTCCAGCGCCTGCTGGGACGTGGGCGAGGAGCTGCCTATGCTGGGGCTCTCGATGCAGCCTCACTCGCAGGGTACGCAGCTGGACAGGACATGCCGGCAGCGACAAGGGCTTTGGGAAACTGGTGGTGGTGGTGGTGAGACACCGGTTCTCGGGCTGCCCTCTCCACCATGAGACCTGTAACGGGTCTGCGAGCAGGAGCCAGAACTCCTCCAGCTGTCGCAAGCTCCAGGGTTTTGGCTTAAACCCCACCTAACTCAAAAACTATGAGGCCAGGCCTGAAACTTGCTGCAGCTCAGTGGGAGCAGCCCTTGTGTGCTGCAGAACTGCGAGATTCCAGGCAACTCGTGCTTGCCACGGTTTCTCAACAAAGCCGAAGTGGTTTTTGGACCCTGCGGAAGTTGCTTCCATTGCTCCCCCCATCCCACTGGAAGCTTCCCTCCAGCCTAGGCTGGTGGAACAGGGATGGGAACATGGATTTGAGCCGCAGACAGCCAGGGAATGCCCAAGTTCAGCAGGTGGCGCAGGGGAGATGGGCAGGAGCAGGGGTGAGGATTTATTTCATTTCTGTGCCAAACTGCTGTGTGAAGCGTCTGCAGGGCTTTGAGTGGGACATGAGCTGCCCGGATCTGTGTGGGGACAGACAGGGGCTGCCCGGCAGGGCCAGCTCTGCTCCGCACCATGGTCACCCCGGAGAGTCCACAGTGCCCTGTCCATCGGCCAGGCAGGTCCCTGGGTGTTTGCGTCAGCCCCTGTCCCCCGGCTCCCCCGCGGGCACTCTCCTGCGCAGGATGTGCTCCAGCAGGGATGTCGCTGCCTGGGGCAGGACCTGCTCCAGCCTCTCCTGCTCCCCAGCGCTGAACGGAGCCAGGACATAGCTGGACACTGTCACTTCGCCCTCTGGCCGCCCGATGCCGACCCTGAGCCGGGTCATCTCCTGGGGAGGAAGAAGGAGAGCTGGAGGAGCTTCACCTCAAGGGTCCATCTGAGACAGAGCTGGGGCAAGGGGACAGTGCTGCGAGTGGGGCTGGGCGGCGAGAGAGCAGCCCCTCATGTTTTCCAGGTGGTTTTGAGTGCTTGCTCCAAGAAACATGATTTTGGAAGAAGCTTTTGCTGGGCTGTGCTGAGATCCCAGGCTCCTGCCAGGCCTGGCAGAGCCGCTCGAGCTAATTGTTTCCATGTACTCCGTGGCGGCCAAACCGACATCAGCCCTCGGGGAAGCAGAGGGAAGGAGGGGAAGGAGAAAAGGGGGGAGAGGAAAGGGAGCAGGGGCTTGTCTGAGGGGAGTCAGAAGAATAGGAGTGGGGGGATGACAAGCCATGCATTGAGGTGGGGGCAGGATTGATCCCCTTCCACCAAGGCCCACTCACATTGGAGTGCAAAGCACTGATGCAGGATCGGACCCCGTTGTGTCCCCTTGGGAGAGAAGAAGAAAACCCACCATTAGTCTGTAATAGACACCCTCCCCGCCCCCTCACCCCTGGTATGGTCTGGTCCTGGGGTCTCTCACTGCAAGGACTTAGGGATGAGGTCCCAGCCAGTGGCTGCAGTCCCCATGCCCTGGCTCTGCAGGAACATCCAGCCCCTGGGGCTGAGAGCAGCTGGCTGCAGGGGTACAAGGGAAGGAGGGCTGGGACAGCACGTTCTGCGTGTCTCAGCTCTTGTTGCAGCTAGTGCATGTGTGACTGAGCACTGGGGCCTAGTACCATCCCTGCCCCATCCCGCAGTGCAAGATTTCCTAGGTTAAATGTCTCGAGGCTGACCCAGGATCTGGCACTGGGGCAGAGTGGACGCAGAGTACTATAAAAAGACCATGTGGTGCAGCCAATGAGCTGAATACAGCCCACAGCTGCTTCCAGGAGGCTCCCTGCCCTTCCCGCCAGGGCAGGAACTGGGAGGCTGCCCAAAGAGCCAGCTGTTGCCTCTGCAACTGGGATTGAGCCCAGGGCTGGAGCTGGGGCCGAAAACACTGCCAGGCTGGTGGGACAGGGCCAGGAACAGCCCACATGCCTGTAAGGGCATGGCTCACACAATCAGAGAGCTGCTGGGGCCACCCCATACCTCGCACTGCCTCCCAGCTTGATTGCCACCTTGCCCAGGTCCTTGTCCAGGTCATCGTGAACCAGGTATATGTCTTCTGGGCGGAAGTTGTAGATCTCAGCTTTGGAAACAGAAATACAACCCAAGAAATGAGCGGGAGACAGACACGCCAGGCCCTGATCCTGCAGAGCAGGGCTGTGGGGACTCATGCTGGGCAGGGGGACAGCAGGGCTGTCACAGGGCCTGGTGGCACAGCAAGCTTTGGGGATGACCAAGCTGCTCACCGGCACTGGTGACACTGAGCCCATTGAGGTTCATGAGCCTCCGTGGCTTGAGCAGCACCAGCTCCAGGCCACGGGTCGTGGCCAGAGCCACGTCAGCGCAGCACCGCCTGTCCACCTGCCAACCCTCGGCCACCGCCAGCTGCCGGGCCAGCCGGTCCACCACTGCCATGCCCACACTGTGCCGCGTCCCCCGCAGCCCATAGTTGCCCAGGCCGGCCACCTGCCCACGGGGTGTCAACAGGGCTCTGCCAGGCTGCCGTGAGCCCCTGGTCCCTCCACGGGCCTGATCCCTGTCCAGCACCCCTCAGCCCTGCTCCCCCTCAGCCTCCATCCCCTCAGACCCGATACCCCCATGCTCCCCCCAGCTGGCTGGGTCCCCTCAGACCTGGTCCCCTCAGCCCTGCTCTCCCCAGTGCTCCCCCTCACAGCCCCGGTCCCCTCAGCCCCGCTCCCCCCGGTGCTCCCCCTCGCAGCCCCGGTCCCCTCACCCCGGTGCTCCCA